CTCAGCCTCCTGAGTCGCTGGGATCCTTCCTCCATGATTCTTTGGTCCACGCATTTAACACACTCCCTGGGCATCTGAATTTGGCCAGGCCCTGGGTGAGGTGCTGAAAGACTGAGTGAGGCTGGGTCCCTGTTCAGGAGATACTCCAACTGCCTAGGCCTTGAGCATCAGTGGGATTGTCACCAGGCTGTGTGCCTCACTCACTATGTCTGTCCCCTTCTCCTGGTGTCCTGGGAACCTCAGGCAGGATAGGATAGCGAATCCATCCTGGGACCAGCTTCGGGGCATGGGAGTGAGCTCAGAGCATCTTGGGGTCTGGAGACTTCACTGGGTCTTGTTTTACCAGTGGGTTATGCTGTGATTGATTGCTCAGCGACCCCAGCACCCGTGCCGCCTGGGTGGGCCCCAGTCCTGGCTGACTGCTGCTCAGCCTGTCTTGTGCTCACCTGCTCTGTTTCCATGTAGATGTCTCTTGGGAGTGTTTCCCCTTCATCCCCTTGCAGAGCCCTCAGGGGCTGCTCCAGGCGGCAAATAAGCTCTTTCTCCCCCTTTACCCCACTCTTCCCTCCCAGCTGCCCTCCTCTGTATTGTCATTATGGTGGAAAACATGCAAATAACTTTGAAAAACAGTCTTCCGGCAAAGGGGTATTCAAAAATGTAATAAACTAACCCCGTCATGTAATCTGGGTCCCATGGCCATCCATCATGCTGATACAATTAAGATATGAAGGACCAGATGGTCCAGAGACCCATGCACAGGTCCCCTGATGGTCCCATGCTGCATCGGACCCCTGCCCTTCCTCCTGCCCCGTCCCCAAGGAATTGCTCCCCTAAGACTGTCACGGCCTGTCACCAATAAAAAAGCTGCCAGGAGCAGCCTCCAGAGAGGGGTAAAGAAGGACCCTCTCGCTTTCCACAGTCAAACATCTGAAATCAGAAGGAGCCCAGGTTTGTAAGCCCCAGAGCGGCTCAGCCAGTTCTACGTGGAAACGGCCCTCTCCTACGTGGTGTGATATGGCAGAGTCCCCAAGCATTGCTGTGCCCAAAATGTGCTGCCAAGTGTATCAGTTCCTGAAGCAAAATCATCTGTCCTTTGGGTTAAACATTGATATTTTACAAAATGCAAACTACAGTAGCAATTTCCATACTTCCTAGGGCATCCAGGCCCCTGGGGAGCTTGTTAAAGGGCCAGTGCCCTGCTGTGTGCCCTGATCAGGTAGGTCAGGGGGGCTGGATGGCCTTGTGTTTAATAGGCTCCCTGGGGATTTGGATGCAGATTTCCTAAGTCTGCATTTTGAGAATGCTCTGCTGCCATCCCTGGCTTAATCAGCCAGGTCACTGATCCCCTTCCCACTAGAAGTAAGTAGTTGCAGGTTTGAAGGCACCTGGGCGGAGCCATCCAGTAATGAGCTGCACAGGGTCAAACCTCCTGCCTAGATCTGTGTGCCAACAGATGGGACTCCCAATAATCTCTTACATCCCTGAGGTCAAGACAAAGTCCTCTTGGCTTCTGGTCCTGACCTGTTGTTGCGCATGACTCCGCAGCAGCTTCTCTTCTCTTAGATTTCCTATCTGTAAATTAAAGGGGTATATTATTAGTCAGCTTTTGCATCCCTGGGACCAAGATACCCAACAAGAACAACTTAGAGGAGGAAAAGTTTATTTTGGGTCAGTCCATGGTAGGCTGAGTCCATTGCTCTTCCAAGGGGAGGCAGAGCATCCTGGCTGAAGGGCAGGAGGCTGAAGGGTGGAGGAAAGCTGTGCAGGCCCTGGACAGCCAAGAAGCAGAGCAGGGGACAAGGGAAGATGAACCCTTCCCGGGCAAGCCACGCCTGCCTACTGTCACCATCCAGTCACTCAGTCCATCCAAACTTGGACAGACTGATTAGGTTATAATGCCCACAATCTCATCATGTCACCCCGGAATATTCCTGTATTCACAAAGGAGCTTTTGGAGGACAGGTCATATCCAGATCCTAAGAGGGGAGACGTGAATTGGTTGAAGCTCTCGTGTCCAAATAGGCGTCAGAGCTGTGTTTGTATCCCACCTGTGTGATTTTGGTGAATGGAAAGAACATCTCTGGGCCTCTTTGCCATTCACAAAGTGGGACTGTAAAATGGATACTTAGCTCCTAGGACTAATGAGGGAATTAAAGAAATCAGGGGTGCTCAATCCATGATGGTGATTATTTTAATGTTATCACCTCCGAGGGCCTTTTCCGTTCTTCCAGACTTTGTCCATGCCTCTAGGGGACTCCAGAGCAGTAAAGTGTAAAGGCAGAAGGCACCTCTGCCTTCCTCCTGCAAGCTGTGTGATGGACAGCTTTTTTCACCCCTAACCCCAACCTCATTTGGCTCATCTGCAGAAAGGGGACAATCCTAGCAGGCCACATGGAGTTATTCTGAGGACTTTCTGAGACAGTCCAGGAATCCAGTGCCTAGCACTAGGCTGGGACTTTACAGGGGCCAGCTACTGTTAACAAGTAGGAAGTTTTTCCTCTTGGGCGGTCAAGCCAGGCTGCACTTAGGTCCAGGGTAGTAAGTGGTGGGGCGGGGCTTCCGGTGCTCCCTCTTCCCCGCCCCCCAAGCCGGCCGATTCTCAGTTGGGTGGCTGAAGGTCTTGGGGATGGTAACTCTGAGGTTAGCAGCAGATGTCGCTGTCCTCAGTCTCCACCTATGTTCCGTACCTGGCTCTCACCAGAAACTCCTACTTTCTTTCTGCGCTTCCCAAAGCAAGACACACCCTGGAGGGAAAATACTTAGCGACCAGAAGTGGGGACCACAGTTATCTTTAGTCGCACCCACCTGAAGTCGAAGGCGGGTCTCCACTTCCCGCCTGGTAGCAGCGCGGACACCCAAGCTGGGTCCCGCCCCTTTCCTTTCGAGCCCCACCCACGAAGGCTCCGCCCCCTGCGGTCGGACCCGCCCAGCGAGGCCCGGGTTGGCCAGCGCCGGGGGTGGGCGTGGCCGGAGGC